TAAAGGCCTCTTAGAAATGCATTTTTTCAACTGCTGTTTTTATAAATGACTTGTTTCTGTAGCATTTATGGTCATTTCCTTCCTTAGAAATGTTGTTTTGCAGTTGTTTTAGTCCACAAAACATGGACCTTCTCTGGCTTCTGTCTTAACTAACCAACCAGTATAAATTTCTCTTGAAATTCGCAGCTGTCTTCACTGAATGTGAGCAAATGAGCCTGTCAGGTTGAGCTGACTCTAAACTTTTCTTGTCTTTGGGATGCAAATCCTTTTAAGTATATTTAGGTCATCTCTATTTGATTTTCATGGGACATACAGTGGGGGGGGAGCAAGTTGTTCTTCATAATGGAAAGAAAATGAAAAAGATGTGCTTTAAATCACTCCGTTCAAAGTCACTGTCAAAGTCGTCATCCTCCATGCAGGAACCTAAACATGCTGGGCTTCTGCTTTCCTTAAGTTTGTGTCAGAAATAGTCTTTTTCTCCATTGCCTTCATCTTTCACTTATGATTTAAACCATATTGGGGGGGTGACTGGTAGCTGTCATGGGAGACTCAGGTGCAATCTAGTGACTGGTTTAAATTCCAAAGCCAAAGCTCTGGGCTCACCCTGGTAGTTAGATGTTTTTAATGCCTCACTGAAATTGTTCATCAAATTCCTCACCACTTTCCATATTCTTTACCTTCCTGGCCTGGACACCCAGCAAACTGCTTCCTTTCAAATAACATGCCCCTGACACAAAGTTGCAGAGCACCACTTAAAATTGCTCAGCTCGTATTTAATCCATCTTTGGATTTCCCCAGCTGAAGATGCTTGGGTATATATTATGGCCAGCAGACTGCAAAGCCCCAGATATTCAAGAGATGGATAAATAACTCTTAATAACACAGAGCATAAAGTATTTCCTGAATGTCTTAGTCCTCCTCTAGCTCATAGGCAGAGGAAGAAACAGGATAAAAATCAGTGCAGTGCTCAGATAGTGCAACGTTTCAGACCTGATCGTCCTTAACACAAATCCCTCTTTACTGCTGGCTTATATAATAATTTCTTCCAACTTTATGGCTGAGTGACACCGCCCAGCCTGCCTTAATGTAAACGAAAAATCAGGCATTAATGTAACAGTTTTCATCTTGACAGATGATAAAACGTATAATGCACTGTGTGCAGAGGGATGATGCTGGCTTTGCAGAGGGGGAACCAAAGCCCCAGTGGTTGGGGCTGTGCCGGGGAGCCTGGCAGGGCTGGTGGAGCTGGCACCCAGCATCTCTTACACCGCTGAGTGCAGGAGTCCAGTGACAACCCTGATCTCTGACAGCATTCAGTATTGCCTGTGCTGCCGAAAGGTCCTGAACCGGCACTGACAGAGAAGACGACTGAGCAGAGGTTTACATTCTGGCCTCTTGAAGGACTGCATGAGAAGTGAGCTTATACCATCGAGCAATCTGTCTGTCAAACTGTTACTTTCTAGTTACAAAAGACATATTTTAGGGTGTTTCTGCAGAATATGGTCTTGTGAGCTCCTTGCAGCTGGATTTATGAGATCAGGTTTTTTAAGAACATTCAAAATGCAGATGGGGGAGGAGAAATGGGTGTGATTTTCATTAGCAGTTAGGTTTATTAAGCAGCTATTATTAGGTATCTAACAGTTATTCCCAAATGTAGACACCATTAAAAATCTGGCTTGTGGCTTTAAAGGTAAAATTACAGTACCAACTGCAACCAAAAGCCTTAAAACTTCAGAAGCTTTTTAAAATACATTGCTTAATTCCAGTGAGGATTGCATGTGGGATACAGTTGGATTGAGATCATATAAGATGTGGTTGGGATGCCTTGCATAATCTACTTATAACTGCTGTTCATGAGCAGCAAGACCATGGCAGAGCATCCTTGGGAAACTCGGACCAATGCCAGGGAAAGTGAAGACTACTGGTGACAACTGGAACTAGATATTATAAAAAGTTCTTTAATTGAACAGCCTTGTGATGGAATCACAGTGCAAAATTTAAGGAAAGACTCTGCTTAGTCTTTTCCCACATCTTAATGGAAAAAAAATTTCTAAAGCTTAATTATTTAAGACAGCCTGTATATTCCCCTGCTTCACCAGTGCTTACAAGACCAAACAAATCTTCTCCAGTTAAAGACCCCGACTGTGGTAAGGAGTTTTATGAGTAGTGACAGCAGAATTTTAGTTCTGTGCTACATACGTCTCTACAGTGTCATGTGTTTAGTCTTGCCCAGTTTAATATATCAAACTCTCCACTGATTTTAGGACCGTATTTTTTAGCTCTTAACCAACACAGACACTGGTTTATAGACCAAACAAATCTTCTCCAGTTAAAGACCCCGACTGTGGTAAGGAGTTTTATGAGTAGTGACAGCAGAATTTTAGTTCTGTGCTACATACGTCTCTACAGTGTCATGTGTTTAGTCTTGCCCAGTTTAATATATCAAACTCTCCACTGATTTTAGGACCGTATTTTTTAGCTCTTAACCAACACAGACACTGGTTTATATATTATATTTTATATTTTTATTTTGAGTTCTGATGTGATAGAGGTTTCAACTGGATACCGTTTGCTGTGATCAGAAGTGTGCTTTCAAATATTTTTAAATATTTTATAGATTAGCACTCAAAAGGAAGCAGAGCCTAGAAGAAAAATAACTGCTACTTCAGCTTCTTTTTGGTGACTGCTGATGAATTAATGATTATTTTTTACATCCCTTATACCAACAGCAGGCATGAAAGGCTTTAACATTCAGGATACCGAAAAACATTAGAAGAAGGAAGCCAAGGTGGAGACCTAGATTAGTGGTGGTGAGCTGGGGCCAGTCACTGGGAGAGAGGGTAGTGGCGGGTCACCTGCAAGGGCAGGAAGAAAGGGGACTCCTGAGAGCATCTCAGGTCACCTGCAGGCAGGGGGAGCGAGGGACCACTGCCCTGGGGGTCTTCTTTTCCCTACTTGTTGCATTTGGACACATTAAATGGTGAAAACTTGTGTAAGAATCTGAGTGTATATATGTGTGTGCGTGTATACATATATATGTGTGTCTATAGAGGGATGGGGTAGGGGAAAGAGGGAGAAAGTAAACACATGGTTTATTTCTTTGGATTTGTATAAAGGTAGAGAAATCAAAGGCTTTTGATTTTGGAATGACAAGCTGACTAAATTAGACAAAAAAATAAACACAGCTGTTCCTCCTAAGCAGGAAAGGGAGAGAAAGGTATCCAAGAGCCCGGTCCACCATAATCTGTTGACTAACCAGACCAGCTGTTATTTAATCCAACTTTCTCGGAAGTATTGAGGGTTTTTGGAGTGCCCTGAAAATCAAATGGTTTGGCTTATCTAAATCAAATATGGTACTATTTTCCCCATCTTTTTGTTTTTAACAGTTTCCATTTGACATTTGTTTGGTTTTGTTTTGTGTCTTCAGTTTCAGTGTTTCAGAGGCAAAGCAGTCTGGAGTTGTGGTGTACAGAGCCTGGTTGATCTTCTTCAAGCCTCTAAAGCTACCTTCAATGACTGTCCTGTTAGTGGGATAAAGGAAGCTACAGTGCTCCGTGGAACCCGTCTTCCTTCTTTCTGTGCTGTGCTCTGAAATCATTGCTCAGGATTTGAAGTGGATGCTGAAACATCAGTTTAAAAATTCTTTGCTTTGATCTGAAATACCTGATAAAAACCAATGGATTTTCTGGAGTCCTTCTTTCTATGTTTCTAATCTTTCTATTTCATTTATCAGTCAGAATGCCTCTACTTTATCTTTTGTAGCACATATGTAATAAATATTATGCCACAGATGAAGACAAAATCCCAAAGTGATTTGGGTAAAAGGAAAAAGAATGTAACAAAGGAAGAGTGGAGAAAAAAACAGTAACATGAGATCAAATGTTATTTATGCCTGTACAGTGTTTATACATATATTTATGAACAAACATCAGCTATAACCCAGCTGTAACTTTGCCCTGTTGTTAGCCAGTTACAAAAGCATCAGTACTCTATTCATTGTCAGCTATTTAAACAGACTCCTGAGATAAGAACGATGACATTTTCAAAAATTTGTTTCCTGTTTCTTAGTAGAGGCTGGTGTCTCTCCAGTATGTTGCCATAGTTCCTATTTACTCTCAAAGCACAATAATCTGTTCCCCTCATTCCAAGCTGCCTACCCATGCAAATGTTACACGTGAAACTTGTGTAAAATGTAAGCTTATCCTAGCATCCTTATAGCTGTACGTCAGGACTCTGCCTGGACCTATAAACTCTGTGTTTACGTGTGTGCACTGTGCTTGGCAGGGCCACGCCGGGTATGGGGCTGGGCAGAAGGGGAGCAGGGAACGACTGGCCATACTGAGCCGGGAGAGGAGGAGGCAATAAGCCAGGGCACTAAAGGCATTGCCATTTCTTTTTAACATCAAACTGCTTTGAATGAACAGTGCTGTGTCTTGTAATATTAGTCCTAGATGTGGAGCCCATAAATGGTGCAGTGATTTCCTCACTCAGTTACTAATTGGCCTGTGACAGTGACATTGACATTGTGGTTGCAGACACATGCAGATCGGAAATGAATACACTGAGATTGATAGCTATGACAGCATATAAAAGCCAGACCATCCAAGCTCTATTAAATCACTTAATAAAAGCTGAGTGAAAGTATCCAAGAAGCATGAGAAAACCTTGGATTATCTTATTTAAATTTGTTACTTAATGAAAACATAAATATTGAAACCCCATGAATTTATTAACTAAATTAACCAGAATTATTTTAAAGGTACAATTTACTCAGCCAGATCATCAGCCAATGCAATCTCCGTTTAAATTGATGAAGCTATGCCGTTGTACACAGCTTGAGCTCTAGATCATGATACTGATAAAATCATATATCTTTTTTAAGCATCCTGCATTTGGAGCAGGAGGGGTTTTTTGTGACAGCTACATATACATTTGTCCTATGACTTAAGAACCATAAAAACACATTTAATATATAAAAAAGTTCACTTATGATAACTTACCATTCTATAAAGTTTATCCTCCAGATCCTGATTAATTCTTTGTAAGGCTAGGTAATTGTTTTGTATCCTAAAACAAAGATGATATCATGTAATTGAATGCATTGTTTTTCGTCTTGTTTTTTACCTGTAATTTTCACATCAGTACAAAACCTTAGCTTGCACTACTTGAAATCTATTTTCTTATCACTCCTGTTGCCAGTTAGTGGTTGCCTTTGAAATATGAGTACCACCTACTTCCTAAGCAAAACTTCTTTGTCATGTTTGCTTACTATATTTAGCAGCAAATTCCATCAGGAAGTGAAAATATGTTTGCTGTTCTGCACTTGTGTGCAGACGTGCATTGCAGCATGGGAACTTGCACCAAGAGATTGTAGCTTTACATCCGGCTCAGGAATGATATGTTAGGGAGGAAGCTTGAGCCATATGCTTAGAAAGTACAGAAAAAGATTTGTGGAGCGCTCTTAGTAAGGAGAATTGCAGCAGAAACCTAATGACTCTAGCAAAAGCAACGCATGGGCATCAGCACATGACTTAGAAGAGAATATTCCTTCTTTTGACAAAAGTTCAAGGAATCGCCTATTCTCAAGAGCTAAACACATCCCGTTTCTTCAGGAAATTCATTTAGATAGCTTAGCCTGGAAAAGGTGGGTATTTATTTTTATCAGCACTGAGGGATTGAATGGACTCACAAAATAAGACTTCTCCGTTTATTCCAGAGCGATACACCAAAGAAAAGTTTCAGTCTGTACATCTTTAGGTTACTTAGATGGTAACCTCGGTATTGTAATGAACGAGCTGTGCAGCCTAGCTATTTTGGTAGTAGCTGTGCCTTTCTTTTCTCAGAAGGTAAGGAGGGTAGCTCGTTGTTCTTGTTTGTACATATCACCTCAGCAGGATTTATAACAAATGTAAAATAAATGTTAGAAGCTCAGCTGTGAAAAGTTTGTCTGAATACATCTATATGTTTGTACTGAGAATCTTAGGTCAATAGGTCAAAGTATTTTCAGTGGTGAGTTGATTTTAGGTAATGGGCACGTGCATTCCCTGTAAGAGTGAACTCAGATGTAATACACATTCATTCAGCAGAAAGCTACTTCCTCTGAGAAGCCTGGATCTGGGTGTAGTTTCTGTGATGATAAGGAAGGGACTGGGATTAAAGAAGTCTCTTTGGCTTATCGTATGGTTAGGAGTGGCTGTTGAAATCAGAATTAAGACCTGCATTCGAACCATGCCATGGCTGCGAATTGAGGGGTCCAGCCTGCCCCTTTCTGGCAGTGAAGTGAGGTGGTGGTTCAGGTCTCTCCCTGCTTCTGTTGCCATAGAGATTTTATTTCCAGTTAAATGATCAAAATTCTCCATCCGGGGGCAGGCCAGCGGCTCACGGTGCCCCTCGCGAGGCATGCAGACCTCCTGCTGAGGCTCCCAGTAATACCGTAACATGTGCTGCATGGACCTGGGAGGGGAGGTCTGTGCCGAGGAGAGCTGCACTGTGGGCGTAAATAATGACATTGCCACGGGTGAAACTCCCCGGGGTACCAAGGGTCAGCCCAGACTCAGGGCAGGGCATGTTTCAAATGTGCATTGCGAGCCTGGGGGAAGTTTCAGTGTTGTGTACGTTTTACAGAGCTGCTGAGCAGAGATTTACTCCCTGTAAGGAGGATCTGTGGTAAAGAGTGTTTGCTAAGGTGGTGACTCAAATGGGCTGAAAATCTGAGATGTGTACTAACCTACAGCTTGGTCATTACTCACTAGTTCTCACAGTGCCATTGTGTAAATGTCCAGGTGACTTAAAGGTTTGACTAAAGTTTACGGAGCTCTGCATTGTCCATGCTCCTGTTAGATGCAGCTTTTGCTACTAAGCTTCGGTATAGACATTTATTTGTACAGCTCTAGGTATACTTGGGATTTTCACAGCTATTTAGCCAGAGTCAACACAACAGAGAAAAATCTTAGGGTACCCTGTACCCAGCTTTTCATGGCAAAGGAGAAGGCAGAGATGATCTTGGTAAACCAGTGGAAGCAAGGAGGCTTAAACTGGCTTTGCCTGCAAAGAGCGACTCAGCACTAACATAGTTACATTTTGCTGGTAAGGCTGCATGCCATGGTGCAGGGGACAAGGATTTAGAAAAATAAGATAGGGCCTGCTGGCTGAGACCAGAGGTGCTCCAGTATCTTGTCTGTCATGGTCTGCAGTTTTTCTCTAGTAAGGCAAAATAGAACAGGTTAAACATGCTTTGCACCTAGGCAGCTTGTGGCTCAAATAGAGATGGTATAAAACCAATGTAAACTGCAATGCACCTGCAACCTCCTAAAAGTTTGCACGGGTTCAAAAGCATCTGCATAAATTCCTGAAAGAAAAGGGGAAAAAATTATTGGTTCAGGACTTTTCTAGCTCAGGCCTCCCTGTACTCCCGTCTGTTCTGCAGTATAGACCTATGTGGAGAGCGCAAGAGAGACATTGAAGGTTTCCTTTCCATATCTTTAAGATCATGAATTACCAGCAGTAATTGTTACTTGGATATCTGGCTTATGACGGTGGCAATGCTTCACTGGGTTTGCTCCTCAGCTTCTGTTGACACTGTTTTTCTCTTGGTATGGATGACTGGAGGATTGGTTACCATTAATATAATTGTTCTTGGCTGGCAACAGTTCCATGCCATAGATGGTAGAGGGGTTTTGCACGAGCTTATTACAATCTGCTTCTCTCCTTGTAACTTCTCTTGTCTTTGCCCATCAAATTTTCCTCTGTTGTATGTTTAGGTGAAAGTAGCCCACAAACCCTAGTTCTCTAACACATTCATTTTGCACTGAAAAAATTGACCACTTCCCAGTAAAATCAAATCCAATCTAAACAAAAAATCCACAGTAAGTAGGAAGCTGAGCTTCAAAAAGTGTTTCTATTGAGAACATTATGCAAAGGTAGTCAAAATAAGCACAAACACGTGCACACATACACAAGCACATACACATGCACATGTACGCATAAAACCCAAATTGGAAATCCACTGTGCCAAAAGAAGTGTCAGCAAATGTGGGTGGTAAGGAGAGAAATGGACCCAGAAATATACGGAAGAAAGTGTTAAAGGGATAAAAGAGGAACATGGTAATCAAATCAATCTTTGGGCAATACTGTAAAATAAAGGAGGAGTAGTGAAAATTATTCCAATTTGAAAATAATCAGATATGCAAATGGTAACTTAACCCTGTTTGGAGAAAAAATACACCCAGATAGCCTGAACCTTGTGAAGTATGAAACATTTTAATGTTGTAAAACTGGCTTCTTTGTAAATAAAGTGAAGAATAGGTCAGTTTCAGTACCCTGTGAAACTGTTTTAAGAATAAACTCCTGTGAATCAATAACTTATTATAATTTTTGATAGCTTTTTGTGTTGTTCATATTATTAGGTGATACCCATGTGCCTCCAGGTGCATATATGTGCATGCATTAAATGCATGTTTAGATTCTTGACTAAATTAGGGCCTGATGAAAAGTATTCTGACCAAATTGAACATTGCATATCTGTGCCCTAACCCAGCAGACAACACATCCCTCTCTAAGGCCACAGATCACCACTAAAGAGAAAGTCTGCAAAAGCCTCTGTTTCTCTGCTTCCACTCAGTCTCAAGCCCTCTTAACGCCATGAAATATTTCTAAAGTAAAACACAGGCTTGGGCTGACTTTCTCTAAAGAAGAGAATTTCACCCAGAGTGCAGTTTAGCTTTGAAGGGTGACTGTTAAAATACTAACTTCTTGTTCAAAAAACCTTTTCCCTCTCTGTTATCACAAGTTACACTGACTTCCTTATGAAAACAAGAGAGTTTTTCCCCCATTTATTCCAGAGCTAATACAGCTGCAGGATTCCTGTTCAGAACATCCCTTCAGTCTGTGAACTGTCTTGCTTTTGGTGAAACAATTACGTGTGGGGGCTAATCTTAGTGCTAAATATACACTTGTATGGATTTTTTTTTTGTGTCTTAAAATTACTGTCTGGTAAAAGCTAGGATGGGGACCTCACCAAGTTGTTACCCAAGTAGGGTCAAAAGCAGGAAACCCAGCATGACCTTTGGAGATCAGTTTTGGTTTTAAGACTGGTATTTGAATCTTTTTTAAATTTTAACTTATAAAAACCATGCCGATCATGTCAGATAGGGGATCATTGTGAGGTATATGAAATCCCCAATCTCTTTTCAGTCACTTTTCAAAGTCAAACCTATGCTTTACAGTTAATATTTTCAAACCCACTCAGCACTGCCCTGATCTTGCTCCCACTGGTCCCAAAGAAAAAGGCCCCCTCTAAATGTTTGTAGAGAGGTTGAAAACTTGACCATCAAGCCACGTAAATGACCTCCCTGCTTGGGTAAGAGAGGGGAGGCCTAGCAGCAACACAGGTAATTCTGCATAAATTAAGACAATAAAGGCTTTCAGAAAGGAGTAGAAGAGGATGGCCATTCAGCCTCTCAGAAAAATTCTGCATTTAACAGTAATGGAAGTTTAATAACAGAAATGTTCTCTAGTACGCAAGCGGGATCTTGTTACACAGGGCTTATTTGTTAGGGGGGTTGAATTTCTCTCCCTCTGCAGTGAATAAAGCAAGAGACACATTATTGAAACTAATTCTAGTTCCTTGGTTTTTTCACACTGATTTTCTTCTGTGACATGTTGCTGACACGCTTTTGGATGACAGTTTTCTTTCAGACATTATCCCTCTCCAGGTTGAGAAATCTAGTTGTTCAACTTGCGGTATGCCTCGCTATTCTCAATAGAAACATTTTTAAAGCTCACCTCGTAAAATAATTTGGGCTTCCAATATGATATGTCTTCAGGGGAGTAATCACCTGCCTGAAACATAATTTTTAATATGTTTTCTTCATAATATGGTACAATATTCCATTAGAATATTGGAAAGTCAGTTCTACTAATTTGATGTTTGGTATGAGTACTAGACTTTGCCATGAGCAAAAACCAGACTTTCTGGTCTAAGTTTTGAAGGGTGCTTAACTCATCAGTGCCCAATGAAGTTGATAAGAGGCTTCATACTGACTAGGAAGCCCCTTTGTTTTAACAGAAGTGGGATGGTCAGCCCTTCTTCTAAATATGATGCAGGATTTATGGCAGCCGTGCCTGAAATAATGTTTCAGGAGAAAAGAGTACCAGCGTTCCCTGTCCTTAAAGCTGAAATATATTGGAACAAAACTACGTCAAGAGTGAAGTTACTTTCAATAGCTCTGCTCTAAGTGAAGTGATAGGAAAAATATTGTTGGCAAGAAAACAATATGGAGAATCTTCAGACTGCTGTTGATAGATGTGTGTAGATTTCAAGATCATCATGACATCTGCTTATTTTGGCCTTGTTTTAAGAAGCCTCCCCACTTAGGAGAGCATTTAAGTTATAAGACCACACTAGGATGTTTCCTAATCTGAGGTCTTACAGCCTCTTTCTGTTTAAAATTTGCATAAAATGGTTTGGTTGACTCAGTTTGTTGGTGGTTTCTGGCTTTGTTTCGGTTTGGTTTTTGCCTTCTGCAAAAAATGAAAAATCTTTCTTTGGGTATAGCCCTGGAATGATTTGTTCTGAATTTCATTTTGATTCATCCAATGAACTAAATCAAACAGTTCAATTATCTACATCAGTTTAGGAAAGTCCTCACAAGAAATGCAAATACATTCCAGCATAAATGGATAATTGTAGGTTCAGAAGTTTTGCAAACAAATGAAAAAATGGATATTAAGAATCACTGATAAATTTAAAGCTAGATTACAGACCATTTTAATCAGTGCCAGGAATGCCAGGAGTGCATGCTTATTATAATTTGTCATTAACATTAACTGGGCCCCTGATTTGCAATAGCACTGTACCACAGCTTCAACAATTTTAAATGATAGGTTTTCAGTATCATTCCATTCTACTTGGGACTAAAAAGCAAATGATTTGCTATAGCATAATGTGAAATGTCACAACAGTATTTGAATTGAACATAGTCTCAGCTTTGAGTGATGAAGGGCCAAATGCTGTTCTCTTGTAACAGTGCAATGGAGAGTAACAACAGAAAATATGCAGCCAAATGCATTAAAAAAATCTATCTGTATATATACTGTGTAACTATATATATGTAGTATGTCTATAACCTTTGTATTTGTAACACAACATGGCACTAACCCACATGTATGTTTACACATAAATGATGTCATATATGTACCTATGTCCATATATTTCTATTTGCATGTTTACTTTCAATACAGGAACATCTTACATATCACATGTAAATAACTGTTGTATGTAATGTATATTCAGATAAGTGAAATGTATATATTCAATGTGAAAACACAATGTGTAATCAACAAATAATAAATGATGTCTGTTTGAGACTATATGCCTGTATTTTTACTTACATATGTCTTTAACACAGCCACTTGTAAATTCCTAATAACTGTTTATTTCAAAAAGTTAGTTACTAACCTTCTCAGTTTTTCAGTTACTTTTTCAAGTTCCTCCTGAGCACGTCTCAGTTCTATTTCAAGATACTGACGTGTAGAATCAAATTCCGTTTCAAGCATTTCCAGCTTATGGGTAGTGTAGGATAGACGCTTTCGTAATTCCCCCTTCTGTTCTTGCAAAGTACTAGAAAAACAAAGACCACAGCTGTAGAATTTAGCTGCTCCTCAAAAGCTTTTCATGATCCACTCTTTGACCAATTCCATACAGTATAGGTTGGCATTAAGCCAGAGAAGTGTGCTTAATAAGTTGTTTACTGCACTTTGAAAATCTTCTGATTTAGACAGTTGACTATCTTCCCATCTGTCCTTTCTAGCGTATTCATTGCTAATATCTCATTAGCCATAATGGAATATTTTGTGAAAGAGTCCTCATTAAAATACAAAATACAGTCTAGAGTTTGGTTTCACACAGGACCTTTCATTTAGAGTTATCTTAAAATACTGAGTTATCTTAAAATACCATGACTGAAGTAGCACATATCAATAGAGCAGCAACTCTAAATAAACTGTGCAAAAATATTTCCTTGCCAATAATCCAAGTTATAATATGTTTTGTGGAGAAAAAAAATTGTCTTATTTGATTCAATTTCCACCCCAATCCCTGGGCCATAGAGCTTCTAGAGATGTTATCGTTCAGCATTTCATCTGGAGCATGGTCATCAATTAATATTATAGTAATTTTAAAGTTATGGCTCTTTCCCCCTTTTCCCACTCATTTGGGAGAAAAGACTTCCCAGACTCAGGTGTCACCCCTAATTTTTCACAGTTCTTTCACTAATAAAGAACTTGTGCCCTGCTTGTAAGCTAGCTTCAGTTACACTCTTTGACAAAACAAAGCACTAGGCACAGAATTTGGAAAGAGGAGGTTTTTCACTTTATTGTTTTCTTTTTATTTTAGAGATGAAATAAGATAGCATGAAGCCAGGACATCCAAGCGAAATTTTTATCATGAAGGTCAAAGTGCCATCTGCACCCAAATAGTCCCTCTGGATTTGCAGCGATGAACCTAGGGATCCTTCCCTTGCTTTACCGGAGCTCGACTCTGTGGCTTCAGGTGAGCCAGTCTGCAGTTGCCTCAGTTCTTATCTGCACAATGGAGATCTTTTATCCTTGCCTGTTTAGTTTCTAAGCTCCCCAGTCTTCTAGCATGTTTGCCAGTTGCACAGCAGGATGGGGTTCCAGTCAGAGCTGATATCTCTGGAGGTGACTGTAACTTGGTTCAGATACTGCAACCTCAGTATTGAGCTGATCTCTTGGTTTCAGGTGGGACCTCTGAGGCACTACAGAACCGGAGTCTGCCATCACCTAGAGACAAAAGTGCTACCACGTGATGCATTGTGAATTGCCTTGCTTATTTTTAATCATATGATAAAAATAATTCTTCATAAAAGAATGGCAAATCTTGATTGCCTTTGATGTCAAGTGACTACTGCCATCAGCTTCAGAAGAATAATGTTTTGGGTCTTTAATTAGACAAGAGAGTTGGGAACAACATGCCATTCTTCAAGAAACACTTATCTGAGCTGTCTTCAGTGTGACTGCCTTCTCCTCTACAAGCTGCGATAGGAGCTTCAGTAAGGCAATGCAAAAGTTTTACAATTGCTGCTTACTTGATCCATGCAGCTTAGAGCTAGGAAACTGTCTAATGTTTTGCAAACAATTCAATTACACATATTGTGTGGTCACAGTTATACTTAGATTACCACTTGTAGTTATATTCTCTTAAAATAACATATCCTAATTCAGACATTTAACGCAGCTCCAGTTAATGCAATCATTTAGTTTTTATATTTCACTTGGTGAATAAAACCCCCAAATTATCTAGGGAAATGAGAATCTGAACCCATGCTGCTCATTTCTGCATGTCGTCATTCATGATGTTACCACATCATACTGCCTTTCACTTGCTCTGCTTCTGGCCTGTTGTTCTTGCTACTCATCTGCTCATCTTGGGAAAGAAAAGTGGTCAGTTTTCCTTCCTGTAGCCTGGCAACTTGGATTTTCTTCTGTGAAGTGGGAGTTACAGTGTCAAAACTGTTTAGAGTGAAAAGAGTTTTGATCTTAAGTCTTCTGCTGCTCTAAAAATCTAATCACTAGGATTTGTACAAAAAGTAGACAGTAGGTCCTCCAGGTATGGTTTTGGATAAAAACGTCCAGGCTGCTGCTCTATGCTGGGCAAGTGCAGTTAATGCAAGCTAAGTCAGATCGGGGGGGTTACAACATCCTGCTGCACTAGGGAGTTTTGGCCACAGGCAGAGTTTGACCTCTGGGAGGAAGAGGGGCTGTAGGGGTACAAATATAATGGGAATGCCAGGGATGTTTAAGTCAGTAATAGCTGGAGACTGCTTAATAAAAGAGGAAAAAGAGCAAAGTTAATGGCCTCCAATACCTTTGTTTTCTGCTTCCTCATGTAGGTACCTTCTTGCTTTGGGTCTCAGTTGTGTGAAGATTAGGTAGCAGCAAAGCACCTGACTGCGCAAATGAAGTTGCTTCTGCATACACCTGTGTGCCTAGACCTGCCTATGTGGGGAAATTTGGGGTTCAAAATGTGAGTTCTGGGTAAATCTTGATCCTCCAGTGGAAGGCAGTGCTGGTCTGAGACGCCAGAATGTGCTTTAGGATTCAGGTCTGGACAGTTTGGCAGGTTTTGGCAGCCTGAAGCCTGTGCTAGGGTCCCAGTTCAGCAAAGTTTTGAAGGATAAACTTAACTTCAGGCTCAGCCTTTTTTTCCCTTGAAGTTCACTTTGAAACGTTTGTATTCTTGAATTCTTTGCTTTCAGAACGGGATTATTCATTTCATTAAAATCAAGCCTATTCTAATGAGCTTTACTGAAACAGTCTGCATACATCCACTCTTCCATATAATGCTTTGGGTAGTAAAACATAGTTGTAACTTTGTAAAAAATAAGAAAAAAAACCCAGTGGTTAAGGCATAAGTTAGGCAACTTCAAAGATCAAAGTTATTCTCATTCAGCAAACCATAATTCTCAAAAAGCTCTATTCATTTCCACCCAAGCTGGAAAGATGGGGTGGCATTCTGAAACCCTCCCAAACCTAGCAGAACCCCTGCTCAGTGTGTACTTTGATTCATCTGATACACACAAAACCAGCTGGCTGTTTTTAAGAGGACATTATTTTTAGACAGGAACAATAACACCTGGTTTATGATGGGATTATTTAAAATGTAGTAGTAGGTACATAACAGTGAATCATTATTAAAATACGAGTTATTCGAGAGAAAGGTAAAAATTTTAGAAACAAAGAAATCACGTTGATAAGAATACGCTGAATGGCAGGAAACTTATAGCCACTTTTATAGAAAAAAAGAAAAAGGAAAAAAAGACAAGACCCCAATGGGGAAAGCACTTAACCATTTGCTTTAATATCCTTCTTGAGCCAAGCAAGTTCTGAAAAGATAGCTAACTTTAAGCAATGACACAATGAAACTTATGCTTATGATTGGCACAAACAGGGAAATTTTCCTGAATCTGGGACTGAAACCACTGAATGGGTACTAACAGCTGTAACACTGTGAGCAGATTTCCCAGGATTCCCAGGATGGCTTTGATTTCTGCATGAATTGAGCCCTATCTAGATACATTACTGGTTTAAAGTAAAGCCTGTTGTTTTCTCTTGCTTTCAGTTATGTATGAACAAACACCTAAGAAGCAAAGGCAAGGCAAGTGAGAGAAACAGTAGAATGAAGAAGAACATGCAATGTGTCAAATTCAGTATCTCTAATAGCAAGATCAGAGGCTCAATTTTTGTTTTATACAAATCTAAGGTATTTTATGAGCGCTTTTTTTTTTTTTTTCATTTCTCATGAAACAGATGTTCTTTCTCTGAAAACCTTCCCCTTACTGTTAGCTTCCAGTGGTATCACATAATGCCATGCCTGAATTCTCTTTCCTTATGCTGTGTTGTGTTTTTTGTCCTAGAAGTCTGGGATTTTCATAAGGAGTGCTTAATTTTGTTGTGTACCCCTGCAAATTTGGTAGTGGTAATTTAGACAGGGTTGAAAAGAGGGAAAAAATAAAATGTCAAAAGTCATGAAGTCAACCATTTAGCATTTTCCCTTTTCTCCGAAACAACAAACTCCACAAACTAGCTGCATTTTGTTTCTGCTTGTCACATACCAGCTAATTAGAAAAGTTCACTGCACGAACTTTTTAATGCTGGTAAATCAATATATTTTAATTCATAATTTATCTTCTATGGCTAGTCATCCCTTATTGTTCTGTATTATATATATAATAAAAATATATATGTATTCAGCACATATATTTATTTTTATATATATGTGTGTGTGTGTGTATTAGTTGTTTAGTTTAAAGACTAAGAAAATAATTCAATGGAAAAAGTACAGCCAGGAGAAAGGAGAGGACTTATTTGCAAATAAAAAATAGTCTTGGGAAATCTGGTAGTGCTATGTCTTAGAAAACACCAATCCTATATTCCATGGACTTCCTGAAACTGACAGCTGGGAGGAGTGAGAAATTACAGGACAGGATTAAAAATCCTGTGGAGTAGGACCTTTTGCATGAGTGGTTCTCTATTTCTTCTAATGAACTCCAAAGTCCTGCTCCTGTGACAACCAGTGGTTTGCAAGTCATTACCCATTTTGCTTCATTACAGTATTTCTCTAAAAACAAGGACAGTAAGTACAATATTAAATATTTAGACTAGTGAAAGAAAACCTCTCAAGGGAAGCTACTTTAAAGATTATTAAAAAAGGTCTTCAGACTTTCCAAAGTATTATATTCACCAATTAGCTCTGTTTATACTCACTGAAAATGTAAAATAGATATGAAAACATATATTGGCACAGAAATTTGTGCCCACAAACATTGTAATGCTGCCAGTAATTGCCAGGTTTGAATTCCGGAGTTGCCGCTTGCCAGGGAATTTGGAGCCCTCTTCCCCTAGGCAGTGCTCCTACAGAGACACGCCAAGCCTCACTGTTGTATCCTGTTGCTGGAGTTGATCCTCAGCAACAATTCAGAGGCCGTTCAGGGGAGATATTACCAGGTGGGAGTTAGCACTACTCAGGCTCTACATTTAGTGAAAAGAGGTCTATTTCACAGGAGAAAGATGAGAAGGCTGTGCAGGCAATTTCAAGTACCA